AGCAACTAGTAAGAGTTTGTCCTCTTCTTTTCTGATTTTTATTCCCTTGATCTCCTTTTGTTGTCTTATTGCTCTAGCTAGAACCTCAAGTACTATATTGAATAAATATGGAGAGAGTGAACAGCCTTGTCTTGTTCCTAATCTTAGTGGGATAGCTTTAAGTTTCTCCCCATTTAGTTTGATGTTAGCTGTTGGCTTGCTATATATTGCCTTTATTAGTTTAGGTATGTTCCTTGTATCCCTGCTCTCTTTAAGACCTTTATCATGAATGTATGTTGTATTTTGTCAAAGGCTTTTTCAGCATCTAATGAGATTATCATGTGGGTTTATTTTTCAGTTTGTTTACATAGTGGATTACATTGACAGATTTTCATATGTTGAACCATCCCTACATCTCTGGGATAAAGCCAACTTGATCATGGTCGATGGGTTTTGTTTTTGTTTTTTGATGTGTTCTTGGACTCAGTTTGTCAGTATTTTATTTAGTATTTTTGCATCAATGTTCATGAGTGAGACTGGTCTGTAATTCTCTTTCTTAATAATGTCTTTATGTGGTTTGGGTATCAGGGTAATTGTAGCCTCATAAAAAGAGTTTGGCAGTGTTCCTTCTGTTTCTATTGTTCGGAACAACTTGAGGAGGTATTAGTTCTTCTTTGAGAATCTTGTAGAATTCTGTGCTAAAACGACCTGGGTTTTTTGTTTGTTTGTTTGTTGTTGGTTTTTTTTGGTTGGGAGACTTTTGATGACTGTTTCTATTTCTTTAACAGTTATTTAATTTCTATTTAATTTGCTTATCTTGTCTTGATTTAATTTTGATAAGTGATATTTAACCAGAAAATTTTCCATTTCCTTTAAGTTTTCCAATTTTCTGGAGTACAGGTTTTCAAAATATGACCCAATGAATCTCTTGATTTCCTCTGTGTCTGTTGTTATGTCCCCTTTTCCATTTCTGATTTTGTTAATTTGGATATTCTCTCTGCCTTTTGGTTAGTTTGGATAAAGGTTTGTCTATATTGTTGATTTTCTTGTAGAACCAACTCTTTGTCTCATTGATTTTTTTTCTATTGTTTTCTTTGTTTCTATTTTTTGATTTCAGCTCGCAATTTGATTATTTCCTTCCATCTTGTCCTTCTGGGTGAGTTTACTTCTTTTTGTTCTAGAGTTTTCAGGTGTTCCCACTGTTGTGGAATTTTTTCAACTTTTTTATGTAAGCATTTAGTGCTATGAACTTTCCTCTTAACACTGTTTTCATTGTGTACCATAAATTTGGGTATGTTGTGTGGTCATTTTCATTGAATTTTAGGAAGTCTTTAATATGTTTCTTTATTTGTTCCTTGACACATTGATGATTTGGGTGAGCATTGTTTAATTTTCCATGTGTTGGGATTTCTGAAATTAGTGTTGGTGTTGAATTCTAATTTTAAGCCATGGTGATCCAATAGGTTGTATGGGTTTATTCCAAATTTTGTATTTGTTGAGGTTTGCTTTGTTCCCTAGTATGTGGTCAGTTTTTGAGAAGGCTTCATGAAGTGCTGAGAAGAAAGTATATTCTTTTATGCTTGGAATGAATATTCTATAGATGTCTGTTAAGTCCATTTGAGTCATAACATCTGTTAGTTCCCTTATTTCTCTTTTAATTTTCTGTCTGACTGACCTGTCCAGTGGTAAGAGTGAGGTGTTGAAGTCTCCCACTATTAGTGTATGGGGTTAAATGTGTGATTTAAGCTTTCATAGTGTTTCTTTTACAAATGAGGGTGCCCTTGTATTTGGGGCATAGATGTTCAGTATTGAGAATTCCTATTGATGGAGTTTTTCCTGTGACTTATATGAAATGGTCTTCTTTGTCTCTCTTGATTGATTTTAGTTTGCAGTTTATTTTGTTAGATATTAGGATAATTACACTAGCTTATTTCTTAGGTCCATTTGATTGGAAAATTTTTTTCCCAACCCTTTACTCTGAGGCAATGTCTGTCTTTGAAGTTGAGGTGTGTTTCTTGCATGCAGAAGAAGGATGGATTCTGTTTTCATGTCCAGTTTGTTAGCCTGTGTCATTTAATAGGTGAATGGAATCCATTTGTAGTGAAGGGTATTCATGACCAGTGATTGCTAGCTCATGTTATTTTAGTTTTCGTTGTTGGTGACGTTATTGTGTGTGTGTGTTTCCCTTCCTTGGGATTAGCTGCTGTGAGATCATCTATTGTCTGTGTTTTGTGGATGTAGTTAACTTCCTTGGGTTGGAGTTTTCCTTCTAGCACTTTGAGTAGGGCTGGGTTTGTGGCTAGGTATTAGTTAAATCTGGTTCTGTCATGCAATATCTTATTTTTTCCAACTATGTTGATTGAAAGTTTTTCTGGGTATAGTAGTCTGGACTGGCCTCCATGGTCTCTTAATATCTGCATAATGCTTGACCAGGACTTTCTGGCTCTCATTGTTTCCACTGAGAAGTCAGGTGTAATTCTGATAGGTCTGCCTTTATATGTTACTTGGTCTTTTTCTTTTGCAGCTCAATTCTTTCTTTATTCTGTATGCTTAGTGTTTTGATATTATTAACCAGTCTATTTGGTGTTCTGTAAGCTTTGTGTATCTTTGTATGCATATCTTTCTTTAGGTTGGGAAAGTTTCCTTCTGTGATTATGTTGAACATATTTTCTGTGTTCTTGAGTTGAAGTTCTTCTCCTTCTATCCTTATTATTCTTAGATTTGGCCTTTCCATGATGTCCCATATTTCCTGGATATTTTGTGTTAAATATTTGTTAGATTTAATGTTTTCTTTGACCCATGAGAGTCTATTTCCTCTATTGTATCTTCAGCACTTGAGATTCTCTCTTCCATCTCTTATATTCTGCTGTTTATGCTTGCATTTGTGGTTCCCGGTCATTTTCTCATAATTTCTGTTACTATATTTCCCTCAGTTTGTGTTTTCTTTATTGTCTCTATTTTGGTTTTCAAGTCTTGAATCATTTCTTTAATCTGTTTGATTGTTTTTTCTTTGTTTTCTTTAAGGGGTTTGTTGATTTTTTCCAAATTTTTGTTTGTCCTTTACTCCATTTCTTTGAGGGAATTTTTCATTTCCTCTTAAAGGGCCTCAAACTTCCCCCTAAAGTTAATTTTTAGGTAGTTTTCTTCTGCTTAATCTATATTTGGGTGTTCAAGTCTTGCTGTTGTTGGTGTCATGTTGCTCTTTTTGGTGTTGAGTGTGTTTGTTTTGTTTTGTTGTTTTGTTTTTTGTTTTTCAAGACAGGGTTTCTCTGTAGCTTTTGGAACCTGTCCTGGAACTTGCTCTTATAGACCAGGTTGGCCTCGAACTCACAGAAATCTGCCGCCTCTGCCTCCCAAGTGCTGGAATTAAAGGCGTGCACCACCACTGCCCGGCTTGAGTGTGTTCTTACCTTGTCTACACATCTTTTCCTCTGGTTAGTGTAGTTGGGGCTGTGTCTCTAATGACAAATCTTCCAGGTGCCAGTAGATGCAAGACTCAGATGGTTGCTCCTTGTGGTGCTGTCAGAGCAATAGTTCCAGTCTCCCTGGAGGTCACTTGGTATTCCCAGAAGTTGCTCAGTACTCCCAGAGGTTGCTCTGCAATCCCTGGCATCTTTAGGGCCGGCTCCCACAGAGGTTGCTTGCTTAGGGCTGTTCCCACTGAGGTCACGGCCTTGGACCTGCTCCAGCAGAGGTCACTGACTTGGGACTGCTCTGACCAAGGTTACTGGCTCGGGCCTGCTCCCTCGGAGGCTGCTAATTCATGCCTCATCCCATAGAAGTATCTTGCTCAGGCCTATTTCCTCAGCGGTGGCTCCCTTGTACCTGCTCCTGTGGAGGTCATTGGCTCAGGCCTGCTCCTGTGGAGGTCATTGCCTTGGACCTGCTCCTGCTCTGGTGGAGGTCAGTGGCTCAGATCTATTCCCACAGATGTTGCTGGCTTGGTCCTGTTCCCATGGAGGTCCCTGGCTTGGACCTGCTCCCTTGGTGGTTACTCCCTTGTACCTTTTCCTGTGGGGGTCTGCCTCAGGTCTGTTCCCGTAGATGTCCCTGGTTTGGGTCTGCTCCCATGGAGGTCTCTGGCTCAGGCCAAGCATTTGTTCTTCCACCATTTGTCATGCCGCATGGACTTATAGGTGTCCCTTGTCAAGTTCAGGAGTCCCTAGTTAATCACAATTAAGAGTACTAACTTTCGTTAAATGTTTTTTCTCCATTTATGTTATGATTATCTGAACTGCTTCTTCTGTAGTTTATTATGATGAAATATGTTAATTAATTAATATTCTAATATTGAACCAACTTTTCACCCTTAGAATCAGCCTCACATTACACGCGGTGTAATTTTTGGTGTCTATATCTGAGAGCTGTTTGTTTACATGTTGAAAATTTTGCTGCATATTCATGAAAGATTTCTGCCTGTATTTCTCAGTACCTTCTTCACCTGGCTTTGGTGTCAAGGAGCATATTGTATAGTATTGGTTGGTTAATTGGTCGGTCAGTCTGTCAGTCAGTCTTTGAAACAAGATCTCAATGGACAATTCAGACTGGCCCCAAGCATGCAGTCCTCCTGCTTCAACCTCAGCACTGACTACAGGCATGTGTCAACCATGCCCAACAAGGATTGGTTTGAGTGTAACTCAGTTCACTCTCTTTGATGCTTGTTCTGGGTGTTACAGTGCACACACTACCTTTTCCGTGCTTACTGGTACTCAGATTTAAATACCTTTAAGAAAGCGTATGCATCTTACCTTCTGTGTTCCCTTATTCTCCACCATTCATCTGGTTGTTTTAAATACGCTAGACACTGAAGCACACTATATAACTTTTGGTCTCTGGAGAAGAAAAGCTTATTTTACCCTACCCCACCCTATTTTTCTCTTTATAATTTGAGAAAATGAAATTTTTCATTGATATTTGGGAATGTGTAGCACACACACACACACACACACACACACACACACACACACACATCTGTTTCCTGCCTTTCTGAGCTTCTGTTCTAAAGTGAACTTCCTTTCCAGGTCGCCTGAACTGGTGGTCTACTGTGTGCACAAGCTGTAAACGGCTCCTTCCTTTGGCCACGACAGGGGACGGGAACTGCCTCTTACATGCCGCCTCACTGGGTAAGCACCCCAGCACCAACACGGGCCAGCAGGGCTCTGGTTCTCTCTGATGCATGGATAACAAATAGAGCCACTCATGCTCCTGTTATCTGAATGCCTATGGCATCCTGGCCCTTCTAGTCAGGCTGGGTTGATGACAAGACAGAGCACTCTGGGGTAAACACCTGTCTCGCTAAGAGACCTTGAGCAGGAACTTCAAGGACAGCAGGTAGATAGGGTACTCTGGAGCAATCTACTAGGACTTCCTAGAGAATGCTGGGTCTTTACTGAGACTTGAGAACTTGAAGGAATAGAAGACACTGTAGGCAGGAGCCGGCACAGACAAAGCACAAAGGCCGAAATCACGGGGTGTTCAGAGGCAGACCTATGCTGGATGAGGCTCCACCAGAAAGACTTGGGAACAGTGTGTGGCACAGGGTAGTTTGCTGGCTGCCTGTGGACAACAGTCTATGATGAGAGGAGATGTAGGAATACTCAGGCAATCACAGTTAGGTACAGAGTGCATGTATTTGCCACCTTCCCCAGGGAACCACATCAGCAGATGCACAGCTATGCATGGCAATATTAGATAACTCACAGTTTCCATGAACTTTCTAGAATCTCTGTCCTCTCATGCACAGGGTTGATACCATAGGGCAGGCAAGTCTAGATTTGTACCAGGACCCTGAACATCAAATCTACAGCTCTTCCTCAGTCCAAGAGGACTGTCTCTGTCAAGGGAATGGGACTCCTGGATAAGAACATAGCTCTTATTAGGCAAGATAGCTTCCTAGTTAAATGTGACCTGACCAAGGGCCAGGCCCACACCTTATTTAGACCAAAGTGGGGCCTGCTCAGTACAAGGCAGGCTGAGGACACTGAAAAGTTCTCTGAGCAAAGTGCTCAGAGAGGCCCTGAGACTAGAGATGTCTAGACTAGAGATGAGACTAGAGACTGGTGTGTGTGATGGCAACAATGGGAAAGACAAAGGCAGCCACTCCCTGCTCCCTCCCCACAACAGGAACAGCACATTCTGCCACTCCCATTGGGCCTATGTGGTGATATGCCCCTTTAATATCAGCGCTAGGAAGTGATAGCTATGAGTTCAAACCCAGCCCATTCTACATGGTGAGTTCTAGGATAGCCAGGGTTACCTGCCTCCAAAAACAAAGACTGCCAAGAAACAGACTTGGTCTTCTCTAGGGATGAGCTCCCTAAAGATTATCCAGTTCCAAACTGTCAGCCATATATATATGGCTGACATATTTATATACATATAAACAACACTAAGTGAACTCAGCAGGTGGTATCTATACATATCTATGTGTATTTGTAACAATAAAAAAGATAGGAGACCATGAATCTGAGGAGGAGCTGGAGGGAGGAGACAGGAGAAAATGATGTAAATGCAGTACTCATATGAAATTCTCAAAAATGTTAAAAATCTCAAAATAAAAGATTATTTAATTTTTAAAATTTAAAAATTAAAAAAAAAAACGTCTAGTCCGCTTCCCAGCAACTTCCTTGATTAAGTCTCACTTCTCAAAAGTTCCACAGCTTCTCAAAAGTGCCATCTGGAAACCAAACATCCAATCACCTGAACTTGGGGGAAAAACTCACATACAAATCCTGGTGGGAAACCCCATTTTGCCTGTTAAATCACTTGCAAGCTTCTATAATCATTAAATATACTGAGACATGTGTTTTCCAATATGGCAGATGATAGTGCCATGGGTTATGGAATACTTGAAATGTAGCTGCCACCAATAGAATCACTATGTAATTCTAAAATGCACCTAGACTTTGAAGGCATCATAAACAACATAAAATGTCATATTCTTAATGATTATATACTTAAAATGATATTTTGATATGTTGAACTAAATGAAATTTGTTATTAAAACTCAAAACAAAACATTGACAATGTAATTACTTTATTATAATGAGCTTACAATTAAAAATTTTAGATTGGCTAGGTTAAGGTAGCCACTCAAATATTATACATCTCAAACTTTGTATCTCAGTAAACTTCTCTGTAAGATTCGACACTTTCATTATCAATTACATATTTATGGAGTTACTTGCCGCCACAAAAAGGAAAAAAACTATGGGGAAGTTGAAAACAGAAAGAAGGAAGGAGGGACAGAGACAGCTGACCTGAGCTTGTGGGAGCTCACAGATTCAGGACTGACAGCTAGGAAGCCAGTATGGGACCGACCGAGGCCCTCTGCATCTGGGTGACAGTTGTGTAGCTTGGTCTTCTGTAGGGTCCCTAGCAGTGGGAAGAGGACCTGGCCCTAATGCATGGGCTGGCTCTTTGGAACCTATTCCCTATGGTGGGATGCCTTGTTCAGCCTTGATGCAGCAAGGAAGAGCTTGGTCCTGCCTCAACTTGATATGCCATGCTTTGTTGATTCTCAGGGGAGACCTTTCCCCATCCGAATGGAGACAGAGGAGGAGTAGATGGAGTGGGTGGGATAGAAGGGAGATGGGGGGAGGGAATGGGAGTAGAGGAGGGAGGGGAAACTGAGGTTGGTTTGTAAAATAAATGTAAAATAATGAATAAATAAAAAAGAAGGAAGGAGGAAAGAAAGAATTCACTCTGTGGCTGGCATTACTCATAGGAAAATTAACATCACTGCATCCAACCCCACCCAGCCCCACCTGTACCCCACCCTCACCCCACCCTGAGGGCCACTATCAGTATTGGCACATAGTATCTCCCGGTATTAAAGTCCTACGATGTTCACTTCCAAATCCAACATTTCCACGTACTTTTTTCAACGTGTCTTTTTATTTTTAATTGACAAATAATAGTTGTACATCTTTTTGGAGGGTAGCCCCTTTCTGGCCTCTGAGACAACTGCACATGCATGCATGTGTTCTGTATGCTTGCCTGCATGCCTGCATGTACACAAAAATAAATCATTTTTAAAAAATAAATGACAGTTGTGCCGGAGGCAGGTAGGCAGATATGTTTGAAACAAGGCAACCCTGTGTGAGAAAGACCTTCAAAGAGCTACGGAAGCAGAGCCTGTCCAGGGAATGCCAAAAAGTGGGGGGAAATGTGTCTAAAGATGAGAAAGGAACAGTGGCAGTCATTTGTGCAGTAGAGAAAGACGCAGACCTTAGATGGTGCTATGCCCATGGTAGTCTTTGGTTACTGCCTATCTAGAGCTCACAGACCACAGTCAACACA